GAGGTGGATGAAATCATGGAAAATGTCAAGCCCTCTACGTGGAACTTATTCGTCGATGGATCGGCTGGGGACACCAGTTCGGGTGCTGGAGTTGTCCTCATCAGCCCAGAAGGTTACAAGCTGAACTCAACTGTGAGGTTCGGATTCAAGGCCACCAATAATGTGGCAGAGTATGAGGCACTTCTTGCGGGCCTCAGGTTAGCCAAAGAAATGCAAGTGAAGAGGCTACTTATCAGTAGCGACTCCCGGCTTTTCGTCAGCCAGGTAAACCGCAACTTCTCTGTCAGAGACAAAACCATGGCCTCCTACTTGAAAATGGTGATGTACCTCGTCCCATCATTTGAAAAGTTTGAGTTGATCCAGATCCCCCGTGTGGAGAATGCACATGCGGATGCACTCTCCAAACTTGCAAGTAGCAAGGACTTCGAACTACTCACAATAGTCCCAATAGAGCACCTTCTCATACCATCAACCGAGGCCCCTAATGTGATGTGGATTGTCGGGACTCCTACCTGGATGCAGCCCATCGTGGCCTACCTAAAGAACCAGGTACTTCCCGCTAATAAGCAGGAAGCTTACAAGCTAAGGAGGAGGTCAACTCATTTCCTCTTCATCGATGATATACTCTACAAGAGGAGCTTCTCCTCTCCACTCCTCCGATGCGTGGGAGGAGAGGAGGCTACCTACAGCTTAAGGGAAATCCATGAGGGAGTGTGTGGTAACCACTCTGGATGTCTATCTTTGGTGCAAAAAATACTGAGACAGGAGTACTATTGGCCTACCTTGAAAAAGGACGTCCTCCAATTTGTACGAAAATGTGACAAATACCAACGATTCTCTTCTATCCAAAGACAACCATCACAAGATTTGACCACGATCTCCAGCCCCTGACCTTTGTCGAAGTGGGGTATAGACCTCATAGGCCCTCTACCGAAAGGCAGAGAAGGTGTGAGCTTTGCAATTATAGCCATTGATTACTTCACGAAGTGGGTTGAGGTTGAGCCACTAGTAAAAATCACGAAAGCAAACACTTCCAAGTTCTTGTGGAAGAACATTATATGCTGGTTCGGGATTCCCTACTCAATCGTCTCAGATAATGGTAAACCATTCGACAACAAGAAGGTTAGAAGTTTGTGTGAAGAACTTGGCATCAATAAGCACTTCTCCATACCTCACCACCCGCAAGCAAATGGCCAAGTTGGGGCTGTGAACAAGACCATCAAACATGTCATGAAAAGGAAGTTTGATATGTCAAAAGGGGCCTGGGTGGATGAGCTACCACAAGTGCTTTGGGCAATCCGAACCACAACCAAGACCCCTCGCAGGGAAAACACCTTTCCTCATGGCATACGGAACGAAAGTAATGAGCCCTGTTGAGGTCGAACTTCCATCTGCCTGACATCTCCAGTTCAGTGAAATAACAAACGACGAGCTCCGGAGGTTCGACCTCGACTTCATTGAGGAAAGAAAAGATGACGTCCAGCTGAAGCTTGCCACATATCAAAGAAAGATGATGAAGTACTTCAACTCAAGGGTGAAGAAGAGGTCTTTTCGAATCAACGACCTAGTCCTTAGGACAGTCTTCCTCTCCTCAAAGGAACCAGGAATCGGTACCTTGGGTCCGAATTGGGAAGGCCCGTATAGAATCAAATAGGAGATCCGACCTGGGATGTATCGAATCGAGGACATGGACGATAAGGCACAACCCCGTCCATGAAACATTGAACTCCTTCGAATCTATTATCAATGAATATACTACCTCGCTGGATGATCTTTCCCAACTCATGTAACATTTTCATAATTCAATAAAATTCTTCATGATTGAGCTGATCTCGTATTGCGTCGTCACCTTGGAGGATAGGTCAACGACCCATCTCTGGGCCACCTCGCTTGAACTCCGAGGCTCACGCCACTTGCCTCCCTTTGGCGAGGCTGAACGCCACTGGGAGAACCCTCAACATGGATGAACCATTCATGTTGAGAAGCTTCGTAACCTCGGAAGAGAGGTCAGCGACCCATCCCTGGGCCACCTCGCTTGAACTCCGAGGCTCACGCCACTTGCTTCCCTTTGGCGAGTCTGAACGCCACTAGGAGAAGTCTCAATATGGATGAACCATCCACCATGTTGGGAAGTGTTGTAACCTCGGAGGAGAGGTCAGTGACCCATCTTTGGGCCACCTCGCTTGAACTCCGAGGCTCACGCCACTTGTCTTCCTTTGACGAGGTTGAACGCCACTGAGAGAAGTCTGAACATGGATGAACTATCTACCACGTTGGGAAGCGTCGTAACCTCGGAGGAGAGGTCAGCGACCCATCTCTGGGCCACCTCGCTTGAACTCCGAGGCTCACACCACTTGCCTTCCTTTGACGAGGTTGAACGCCACTGGGAGAAGCCTCAACATGGATGAAACATCCACCACGTCGGGAAGCGTCATCACCTCGAAGGGAAGGTCAGCGTCCCATCTCTGGGACACCTCATTTGAACTCCGAGGCTCACACCACTTGCCTCCCTTTGATGAGGCTGAACGCCACTGGGAGAAGCCTCAACATGGATGAACCATCCACCATGTTGGGAAGTGTCGTCACCTCGAAGGGGAGGTCAGCGTCCCATATCTGGGACATCTCGCTTGAACTCCGAGGCTCACGCCACTTGCCTCCCTTTGGCGAGGCTAAATGCCACTGGAGGAGCCTCAACGAGGATCGAACTTCGTTTCCTATGTTCACAGGCCCAACCACTATGGGCTTCAAGCAACTCGATCAAAAATAGCAATGTCCTCAGTTCAGCTAGAAGACAGTCCAGTATTAAGGTTTATTCAGGTCACAATTATTAAGCTTAAGTGTAATCTACTTGCTTAAGTCCAATATCAGTCATGGTTCGTGTGGCTTGAGTACAATCTACTTAAGTGATTGGAGTTGGGATATTAAGTCAAGGTTATTAAATTCATCAATCAACCTTAAGTGTGATTACTTAACGAGGCCAATGCACTTGGAAGAACAACATTGAATGAAAAAGATTATATTGATTTTCAATGTTACAAAAGAAGGGCCTGAGGCCATTACATCGAAATTGACTGAAAAGTAAACTATCCTAAGTCTCGGATGATGGCAGAGGTGCCTCGACGGCAGGAGCCTCAGCAACTTGAGCATCAGAACTCTCTTGTTCCTCCGCTGCCTTATCCCGAACCGCTTCATCAGCTGGGGTCTGAGGCACTTCATCCACAAACTCCGACCTCAGCTGTAACAGGTCTTGATTTGGGAAGAGTTCCTCAGTCCTCTCCATCATTTCAGCATAGGCATAATTCCTCCAGAAGACGCTGAAGCTCTTGTACTCCTTTGTGTTGTGGAAGTTAGCAATGTAATCTTTGACTGCCTCCTCCCTCACCTTGGCCATTTCATCCACATACCATTTTATTTAGCCCTCCAAGAATTTTTATGCATCTTGGGCCCCGGCCAGTTGCAGATTGGCTTTCTCCAAGGCCTCAGCAGTCACCTTTTGGTGGTCATTGGTAAGAAAAGTCACCTCGCACTGGGACTCGTAAACCTCTTTCTTCAAGGCCTCGATCTGGGTCAAGGCAGACTCTAGCTTGGCCAAATCTTCTATTTTTTGGGCCTTCGCTTCCTCTACCTCAGCCCTGGCCATCTTCAACTCCTTTGTAAGGGAGGATAACATCTTCTCCAAGGATTGGGTCCTCGTTTGAAAATCAGTAAGGGCCTCCCTGCACTCCAACGCGAGGCCAAACGTCCTCACACTTTGGCTCACAAGAGCCTTTGTCAGGTCCACTGCATCACAGAAAGAGACGTACAACTGCCACCGGTCCGTCCAAAACTTATAGAAGCTCTCCATAGCACTTCAGATCTCGGCTGGCAGAGCCTCTACCAACACCGGGGCCAGGACCTCCTCCCTTCCAGCAAGGAAGCTCGGCGATTTACCCAGACTCTTGTAGGCCTCTGTTTGGCAACTTCCTCATCTGCCTTCTCAGCAGCCCTCATCGCCGCAGCATCCTCGGTCTTAGCACACCGCACCATCTCAACCTTTACAACTTTGGAAGCGACCTCCAGGAGCTTTGGCTGAGGGGTTTCTTTCCCTTCGTGGGACACGGAGGTCCCGAACTTCCCTGATGAGCTAGTGACGTGCACCAGCTTCCTCTTCTTCGGCTCCTCGGGGACCTTCTCCTTTTCCCGAGGCTCCTTGGCCTTCTCCAGCCTTTGAGAGGCCCCCTCCTCAACAACTCCGAAGCTGCTTTCCTTTGGAGAGTCTCTTAACCTTACCCCGAACCTCCTTAGCACCGTTTGACCCCGGCTTCAGGGGCCTCGCCGTCACGTTGGACATGGCCCTAAGGATAGAGGCCATGTCCGGGGCTGGGTACTCCATCCTCTTGAACTTGTCTGCAAATCAAGTAAGTGCATCAGCATCGAAACAAAAGGCAAAAAATGCACAAGTATACAAGCCTCTTACCTTTAGAGGCCATCAACTCAAAATCAATGAAGTAGCAGCTTCGATCGATGAGGTGGTTGAAGTGCCTAAGCTTAAGAGGTCTCTTGTAAATGTCCTCTATTACTTCAAACTCCTCCTTGCTCAACTCGAATCTCGTACTACTATCTTCACAGCAACCCTCACAGAATGTAAACTATTTAGGCTAGGAGACTCACGAGTTTCGTAGTACTGGGTCGATACTGTGCAAGTCAAGGCTATGTCCCCCTCCACTGCCTGTCACCTGCCCCTCACCCAGAATCACGACTCCTTCCACCCCTTGATGGAAGAAGGCAGGCCTACCACAAATGGTGCGTGAGCCCCCCCAAGGAGTTAAGTAATACCACCCCCTCGACTCCTTAACTATCACCCTGGGCTGGAACGGGGTCATGAAGACGTGGAGATGCATGTCCTCCCCAAGCGACACTTCCTTCCATAGGAAGTACGAGCCAACTAACTGGCTCCACCCATTTGGGGGAACCTGGGTCGGCGACAACATAAAGTTTCTCAACACCGACCTAAAGAAGGGGTGCAGAGGAAGACGCATACCTTCCTTCAACAGGTATTCACTCACCGCCACGTTTACATTTTAGAAATAAAGATAACTTTTATGTAAAAATTTATTTAAAAAATATTATTACTAATAAAATTATAGGATATGGTCGATAGTTAATAGCGTGGGAAAATGGAGAAAGATTTCTGTGTCAGATTCAAAGCATGTAAGTTGCAATTAAAATAGAAAACGATGTCGTTTCTACTCCACCAATTAAAAAAAACTACAGTGTAACAAAATATTATTTTGAAAAATATTACTACTAATAAAAGTATAGGATATGGTTGATAGTTGATAGCGTGAGAAAATTAAGAAAGAATATTGTGTGACAGATTCAAAGCTGGACGGTTCATTTTTGCCACATGCGTTTTCACATTCAACTGGTTTGAAATGGGTTTGGTTAAAGTGGTTTGATTTTTTTATTATATTATCTCTCCTTATCTTACTGTTTATGTTTGTTACATTGATTTTTACATTGAACAGGTTTGAAATTGATTTGGTCCTTTAAATCTGACAAACTATACTCTTTCTCCATTTTCTCACGCTATCAACTATCAATCATATCCGATAATTTTATTTGTAGTAATATTTTTTTAAATAATATTTTGTCATACTATAGCTTTTTTTTTTAATTGGTGGAGTAGAAACGACGTCGTTTTCTATTTTGCCTGTAGCTTACATGTTTTGAATCTGACACACTGTACTCTTTCTTCGTTTTCTCACGCTATCAACTATCGACCATATCCTATAATTTTATTAGTAATAATATTTTTTAAATAACTTTTTACATAATAGTTATTCTTTATTTCTAAAATGTAAAAAGTTACTCATAACTAAAAAGATTACTTCAAATTATTTAAAAGTAAAACAAGCTTATAATTGTAAAACTACTTATAAGTAAAAAATATTAACTTAAATTTTTTTAAGTATAAAATATTTAGATATATTTAGTTTTTTAAATTAAATATTAATAAAAATATTACACTATCTAGAATGTAAAATGTTACTTATAAGTAAAAAAGTATTTCAAGTTATTTAAAAGTAATAAAAAAACTTACAATTGTAAAAGTTATTTATAGGTAAAAAAATATTAATCCATCATTCTCTTACAATTGCAAAAGTTACTTATAAGTAAAAAAATATTAATTTAAAATTTTTTTAAGTATAAATATTTAGATATATTTAGTTTTTTAAATTAAATATTAATAAAACGATTAAATAATCTAAAAATTTACTTATAAGTAAAAAAATCACTTCAAATTATTTAAAACTAATAAAAAAAACTTATTATTTAAAACTAATAAAAAAATTTATAATTGTAAAAGCTACTTAGATAAAAAAATAATAACTTCA